GTTCTACTGTTCTGTTCAGTATAAAAATGTTTGTATATACAACTAAAAGTGAAGCCTTCCTTTATATTCAAATTGGACTTAATTTTGTCTGAATTTAAACAGAAAAAGTATAGTAACAGCTAAGGTAATAACAATGGCTTTTTTCCCCTTTAGATAAACTGTATCTGATTATGTAAGCTGTTTTCTTCATTAATGCAATATTGTAAAATACCCTAAAAGATGACATAGGCTGATTTGTAGTAGCTTGATCATTTTATGGATAATTCTAACTCATTAACTCTGGTGGGAGAGAGGAATCATTTAGCATATCTGCAACATTTTTCATTAAACTTGGCTTCCAATGAAAAGTAATGTGGTGTAGTTGATATGTGTATACTTCAACATAGAAAGAGGTACTGTTGAAAAAGTACTAATTTTTACAGTTAATCAATAGGAAATATAAAAATTGCTGGTTAATTGTTTGGGGCATCTCTGGAAATTACCTTAGGTGTTTTATTCCCACTGTGGTAACACCCTACATGTTTATTTCCATAGCACATAGCTGTGATTCCACAGAGTTTTCCTGGGCCAGGGTCAAATCATTTGCATAAGCCTTGGGATCATTGTTACAAACATGCTCTTAATATCTTATGTGCTAAAAGAACTGTTCAAAAAATATATTTCTTCTTCAAATAGGCTCCTCTTTAGCCAGATTTATGTAAAGTCCAGTCCCAGTGTAAACCATAACTGGGATTTAAAATTGGTCTTTTGATTGGTAAAACGTGTCGAGAACATGTCAGTAGTATTTACAGTATATCAAGGGTTTTTAGATTATAGACATATGGTTTTATCTTTATTTAGAAAGTAATGAAAAAATACAAAATGCAAAGAATTAAAATTACCTTTCTTACTTTCCGATGCAGACATAGACATACCGGTACTTTAAAATACAGACATGGACATACTTAAGACATAGAGAATTAAAAAAAATAAAATATACCGGCATTATGGTGCGAGACTGAATTATAGAACATATATAGTTATATAAAACATATATATAAAAAAGAAAGATCCTAGGTTCCTGGTTGGCTAGTGGGTTGTCAGTGATGGGAGAGTGGGTAGAGTGTTCAGCATCCTGATTGCTTGGTGGATGAAGCTACTTGTAAGTCTGGTGGTGCTGGTCTTCATCAGATTTTAACAGTGATTTGATCTGGCATCAGAATAAAATTAGCTTTTAAGAAGTTAATGGAAAACATTGTACTGAGAAGCACAAAAAAGAAACAAGGTAAAATATTCCCTGCTCATTATGAGTGTTTTTCTTTTTTTTTTTTTCTTTTTTTTGGTGTGGTTAAAAAAGGCAAAAAGTACTTATTTAATCTGACCATTTCCTCCCTATGTTACTTAAGACATTGACTTTTGTAACTAGTAAACCACCTCCTTGAGATTAAAATCTAGAGTTAATGATAGTAGTCTCAATAGTCCATTGATCTGTCTATGATGTAAGCCCATGCTGTTTGTTTTTCACATTGTTGGGTTTGAAATGCAGAGATTAGACCTTTGCCTTCCTTGTGTTGAAGGCTCCCTTCCCTTTAGTCACACATTGTTGATGATTGTTTTAGTGCAGATTTCATCTAGCCAAGGGCTCCACCTTAGAATAACATTAATGTAGAAGAAACTTTTTTTTTCCCCACCTTATGAGAGGTATTTTTGCAGTCGGAGCTATACAGGAGGTATGTTTTGTCAGCCTGGAAGAGATTCTCTGTCTGGCTGGGTAATCTGTGGATAATTTATCACTGCTGTAACACATCGAGGGATTGGTCGGGATTAGATTCAGATTGCTGCATGCTTACATGTTCGCATGTTGCTTTGAGCTGCCCATAGAGAGGTGTAAAATTGCACAATGTTTTGGTGAAAGCATTCCATGAAATATTGACATGCTGATTTGTTTGCTTGTGTGGATGTAATTATCAAGACACTTTGAAACAAACATCTTTCATCCAGTAGATCTGTACTCTTAAAAATGGAATACTGCCTTGTTTCTCTGATTAATGCTTTAAAAAAAAAATCTGTTTCTGGAAGAAAAACCTATGCATTAGCACAGCTGGATCTGTTGGGGCTACAGACTGTCATGTATAGTCTATAGACTTCTGCGACTACATCTCTAAAAATAAAGATTAACATTTTAGGTCGCTTTTGTAAACTAGTTAATATTATATGATATAGATTAGAAGTTCCATACAATTGTAGCATTGCGTATTTCAAAATAAAATAAAAATTATAATATAATTATTACATTTAGACACCTGACGGCTGATCAGCACCTGTCATCTCTTGTTATGGTGTCAGATGTCTGATCTGGGTTTTTGTCTCCACTCGGTGCAGGTCTGAAAACTTAGTGCATTACACAAAATTTGCTTTTTCATCAATCTTAAGCATGATTTATAGAAATTGTCATATTGAGCGTACCTTTTTTCTTTTTCCAACCTCCTAACATTAAAGGCAATAGTCGCTTTTATTAATGGAAAAAACTACAAATATGATGATTTTTCATTAATAAACACCAAATAAAATACACTGCTTACTCAGCTGTTTTAACTCGGCTCTAGAATTTGATTTAACCAAGAAACTTAACTCTTGACTTTATAAAACATTTAAAACTTATTTGAAAACGGCGTCCTGACTTCAAACCTTGGATGAATGTGAAGAGATAACTTTACACTTGGCACAATAAAGAAACTGACTGCTTACATATGAAACCATCCAATAACTTTGATAATCCAGAATTTTTCAGAGCCACCGTGGTTAAAGCTATTTCGGATGGTTATAGATCTGAATCTTTGGAACAAACGCCAGCATCATGCTTGGAATAGTTAGACCAGCAGGTTAAAATCGGTCTTCCAAGGTTTTCATTTGTATGAGCGAGCCAAACAGTAAATAAATAGGATTTCAACCACCTCTGTGATGTCGGTTTTCTCTCTTTATTGTGCATATAGATCAAATTTAACATACTTGTTCTGAAGCAAGAGATGCAACAGAAAAGATGTGCAGTATGTGTTATAAAATGACCTCTAATCTCTGAATCTTTCCCTGCTTGGAAAAATGTTTCTTACGAATAATCTGAAGATGTCGCATCAATTTTTGTACCTATTATCTTTTGCAGCCCTTAGCTTGTGTAGCTTTAAAAGGTCACCTCTTGTGGATAAGCAATAACCTTTTACCAAAGATTTTTTTTTTTTGTTTCATTACCTTTTTTTCTAATTTAACCTTTCCAAAAATTTAACTTTGTTGTTTCTCTGCTGTTTTTCCATTTCAGATGCTGTTTAACTTTCCCACTGCTCCTGGAAGTACTGCTCTTCTTTCCCTTCCTTGAATATCAAAAGACTTAAATTTAAACCTGTGAGGTAAAGTCATCTGTATGAGAACATCTTATTTAGTGTAAAGTGGGCAGAATTTCAACTAAGGAAGAAAATGGACATTTCTTTTTTTTTCTGTGTCTATATGTGGATTTGTAAATTATTTTAGGGAATAAAGTGCAAAGATGTTTACGTGCAGCTCTGGGACTTTTTGGAATGCAGCATACCGTATGATGTCTAATTAAATGAAATGCATTCTTCTCCTCTAGCTCATTGTCTGATTTCCAGATTTAGATTTTCAGTCTCAAAGGAAAAGCTGAGATTTGTCACCCAAGTATATAGGTTTCCTTTATAATTATGAATCATATATACACAGGGATACACAGCTGAAAGTCCTACTGGATAAACTGTTAAAAATGTGTATTACGCAAGAAAAAAAGCAATTAAGTAAAGAAAAAAAAGTGGCCATCATTACATCATTAAGAAATGAAGGTCAGTCAGTCCGAAAAATTGGCAAAACTTTGAAAGTATCCCTTAGTACAGTCACAAAAACCATCAAGCGCTACAAAGAAACTGTCTCACAGGAGGACCGCCCTAGGAAAGGAAGACCAAGAGTCCCCTCTGCTGCAGAGGAAAAGTTCATCCAAGTCTCAGAAATCGCAGGTTAACAGCAGCTGAGATTAGAGACCAGGTCAATGCCACACAGAGTTCTAGCAGCAGACACATCTCTAGAACAACTGTTAAGAGGAGACTGCGTGATTCAGGCCTTCATGGTAAAATAGCTGCTAGGAAGACACTGCTAAGGACAGGCAACAAGCAGAAGATACTTGCTTGGGCTAAAGAACACAAGGAATGGACATTAGACCAGTGGAAATCTTTGCTTTGGTCTGATGAGTCCAAATTTGAGATCTTTGGTTCTAACCATCTTATCTTTGTGCGACGCAGAAGAGGTGAACAGATGGACTTTACATGCCTGGTTCCCACCATGAAGCATGGAGGAGGTGTGGGGGTGCTTTGCTGTTGACACTGTTTGAGATTTATTGAAAATTGAAGGCATACTGAACCAGCATGGCTACCACAGCCTCTTGCAGTGGCATGCTATTCTGGTCTGCATTTAGTTGGACCATCATTTATTGTTCAACAGGACAGTTACCCCAAGGGTTATTTGACCTAGAAGGAGAGTGATGGGGTGCTGCGCCAGATGACCTGGACTCCACAATTACCGGACCTGAACCCAATCGAGATGGTTTTGGGTGAGCTGGACCACAGAGTGAAGCCAAAAGGGCCAAAAAGTGTTAAGCATCTCTGGGAACTCCTTCAAGACTTTTGGAGGACCATTTCAGGTGACTACCTCTGGAAGCTCATCAAGAGAAAGCCAAGAGTGTTCGAAGCAGTAATCAAAGCAAAAGGTGGCTACTTTGAAAAACCTAGAATATGAAATATTTTCAGTTGTTTCACACTTTTTTGTTAAATAAAGTATTCCAAGTGTTAATTTATAGTTTTCACACAGTCAGTGTGAATCTTCAATGGCTTTAAGTCTGTACTGTGTATGTATATATATATATATATATATATATATATATATATATAAAATCTTAGGGTTGGAATAGAAGCAGTTTCTGTAAGGAGCCATAGAATCTCTCATCATTGTTGGGGAAACGCATTTCTTCTCTCCCTAATGGTGGTGCGAAAAACAAAGATGTAGATATGGAAGGAATGTGACCTGAATGTTTAAGCTCTTCCTGGTCATAAGTCAGTCTGCTAACTCTCAGCTGAAGAATGGAAGGAATAAAATTGCTTTCTGTCATGAATTACTCCTCCTCGATCGGCCGCTGCGCTGTGTTTTTCTTCATAGCCATCTTCCTGGATGTAGTCGGCCTCATCCTCTTCCTCATTGGGATTGCAGCTCGCATCAGTTATTGGGACTTTTTTGTCCTCTCAGGGCCGCTAATCATGTTTCTCAGTCTGGTGTGCTGGATTTTCTGGTATCTTGGAAACCTAGAGGTGTCGATAGAGGAGCTGTTTGTGGTTTGAGATTCTTCATTCGTCTCCTTTTATCACCATCGCTAGAAACGGAAATTAAAGCACCATCCACAGGTTCAAATCTTCTCCTTTGAAATCTAAGTATTTCAAAAAAGTATTTTCTGTAGTTAAAAACTCTTCTTTTTTTCACTTTCAGGTGTTTGTGTGTTTAACCTTTATGTGGAAGGACAAACAAGGAGCTACAATTTTTAGATATGACCGTTGAGAATAAAAAGCTCTTTCATTTTTATGCCAGGGGGAAAAAAATGAGTATTTATGGAGACATTTGAGTATTTTGATAAATAGGCTTGGGTGATGTTCTCTCCAACTTATCCAAATGAAGCCAAGATGAAAAGGAACAACACAATAGGAAATGACTGCAGTCATTTAAATTAGCATGAATTTTGAGTCATTTTGTTGCAAGTGAATATTAAATTACATTTTTTGCTTTCTTTTGTACCCATGTTTCATCTTTTGTGTACTCTTTAAATACACATTGTTGTTGTTTGATTCATCTTTTAGCTTTTTATCTCCTACTTACCCCCACGCTGTTGTTATGTATTTCTATTGTAACAGCAAGGCTCAGGCTTTGCTGCCTTTTTTTGCCAAATTTATTTCATAAACTCTGCTCTTTATTATCCTTTTTGCATTAGTGTAAATATTTGATTTCTAATTCATAGCCTCCTTCGGTTCCAGATTCCTTTTATTTTCCTGTCCACTCTGACCCCATGACTGCTTAAATATTTAGTTTAAAAGCAAAATTTCCTTTAAATTTTTCTAGTCATATACATTTTTGAAGTCCTGAAAAAATTTATAGAATAGGTATCTCCTTTTAACATCTTCAGCCAACATTTAGGGAGAGGTTTGGCTTTTGAGGTCAGGTTAAAACTAAATCCTAGTCTCGTAGTTTTCAAACCAAACTTCAGTTTTGAAGTACTTTAAATGGAGGGGAAAGACTGATCTACTCAAGGTAAGATACTTACTCTACCTCTACATTTTCCTCTTCCTCTGTGTTGGAAACCTGCGGTCGTTTACCATGTCTGTTTTCCTGATTTTGAACTATAGTCTGTTGTTCCTGATCGCTCTGCGGGGATTTGCTTGTTGTGAAATCCGAGTATTGGTCGCTCAAACCGTTCAAACAGAACCAGTCGAACTGGGTCTCTCCAATCGGCTCAATAAGGGTTTTGTTTCTTTCAGAAAAAGATTTTATGATGGAATTAAACTTGGCTGTTTTATAGAGCTGCTGTTTGGCTCCAGTATAATCTTTATCTCAGGTATGTCATACAACTTGTTTTTCTCAAGTCGAAATACACACCCTATTTACAGAGTGACTGATATCTGAGCTTAGCACCTACAATAATCCCCTGTTATCCATTGTTTGGAAGAAGAGTGAGGCTATAATAACAAACTAACAGGGAAACGACACAGAATGAATGAAAGATGCCCCCAATGGTTCATTACATAACCTGTGTATAAGGGTTTTAAAGACAAAGCTGTCATTAGAAACTATTATCTTTTATCTTAAACCAGTCATTACTCTGATCTCTTTTGAAAAGCAGCTGTGTTTTCAAGAACCACGTTTTTTTTTTTTCCTTTCAAGAGGCAGTGCTTGGGATTGTGTCAACACCATTACTAATTCAGAACCTCACTGAGCCAAGCAGCTCAAGGAAGAGTTTATTTGAACTGGCCGAGGCTCCATAAGGTGTCACAATGCCGCAGCCGGCCTTGTCTGTGGGTGTTCGTGTTCAGCCTCACACCTTCCACGTCTCTTCATTACACTGCCACACAGAGCAAACACGGCTCGGCCCTGACGAACATGATACTGACTGCTGACAAAGGTAGCAGGGATTAGGTTCCGGTGTGGTGTTAGACTGTTGTCACGGCTGCCAGCACTTCACACTGCGGCAGCAGCATGGTGGCATGTGACAGGATTCAGCTTCACTGTGAAATCAGAGGGGTGCGATGCTGAGATATGAAACTGTTATAAATTATATTAAAACTTTGAAATCAGACGATCTGAAACTCACTGCAAAATGCATTTAATAAGGGAATTCTGCTTTACCAATAAGGAATCTGTTGTAAGCAAAAACAGATAATTTATTATTTTATTCTAGAAATTCAAATCAAGAGAATTTATATAATTTTTTCACAAAAAAATTATGTAAAAGAATTACAGCACATAGTTACTCCTATTTCTTTTGTTTAAAAAGTTACTCAAATTAAATAACTGAGTAAATTTAACTAGTAACTACCCACCTCTGTTAATGATTATTACCAAGTTCTATTTAAAGAAGTTTAACTGGATGTGAAACTAATTTAGTGAACCTTTGCTTGATCAATCTGAAGCTAAATGATCCAGATGTCTGGCAAACATGCATAATTATTTTCTTATGTGATGTAAAACAGAAAGTGAAAATAGATCAACTGCATTTTCGCTTTCAGAGCAAATAAAAAACATGAAATATATTTTAAACCAATGCATTTCAGCTTAATTTACTTATCGATTTTTGTCTGAGCATCTTAAATTCATTTCCTGGTGCCCGACATAAATCCAAACAGCCACTGAGTGGGTTAATTTAACCTTTAACCTAATTTATATTAATGATTTCATTTTGTGAAGCAGCTAATTTCCAAGTGGTCAGCTCAAAGGAATGGCTTTAAGTTATTGTTTGTCTTCACTTGGCCATGAAATAGTTGGCGTTAAAAATAATATAGTGTTTACAGGATTAAGCGACACTTTTTTAAACAGTGGGATGATTCATTCTCAAGGATCTATACAAATCAGTACTTTATAAAAATCAACCGGTAACATAAATTGGCTTTTTAGTTTTGCTAGTTCTTTTTTTTTTAAGCAATGCATGCATTTCCTGTTTTAGAAATGTTCTGAAATAAACTAAATTAATACCTCAGTTAAATAGAAAAAATAAGATGTTATTAGTAACTAAATAACATACATTAACCATAAATTAAACAAAAAAAAACTTTTGGTATTTTTGCAAGTTTCTTTTGATGAATAATAATTTATCTGTAAAATGTCAAATAAAAAACTACAAATAATAAGCTAACAAACAATCTGGTTGAAAACTTAACATCCAACACTGTAGAGTGCCTTTCAGCAAGACGGTCCTGGGTTTGATTCCCAGCATGGTTTTCTCCTGGTACTCCTCCTACCTCCTACAGTCCAATAACAGGAAAGCTGTAGAAGATGGATGCTCTGATCTGCTTATTCATCTCTATCCCAAAATCAGTTTGGATCTATGCTCACTTGTTGTTCCCACACTCTGAAATCCTGTTTGAGTAGATAATGAGGTAAACATCCAGTTTAATTCAACAATTATTCTACTCTAAAAGTGCACTTTTCTGACACTGTTTATTTCCAAAGCTGATAAATAAAAATTACATAAAGATTGATTTTTTTCTAGGATACAGTTAATTTGATTATTGTAAGTATGGAAATAATTGTTATTTAATATTGTATTAAAATCATTAACTCGAGTATACAGATTCATAATAATGTCATTTTCTGAAAGAATAATCCACCCAGAGCAGTAATAAAAACAAAAACTTTACCAAAATACACATTCAGCATCTAAGATGAAACATTATTTGACTGTAAATATGATCCAACAAGAATACAGGAGGTATAGCTTTAACTTCAGCTGCTTATACTCCTATATTTAAAGCAAAATTTATTTAGTCTGTAAATCATATCTTCTCCATAAGAGAAACATCTCAGTTGCCAGAATGACAATTACCTAATATTTTGGCAGTAAAAACAGGCAGCCAAATGTTTAGCTTTGAGGAAAAACTGAGGGATTTCATGGATGTCAGTCACACATTGTCCCCTGTCCTCCCCTATGTGTGCTGCGTATGTTTCTACCTATAGATTATAATCTGCAGATATATAAGGACAGCGATCAGAAGCTGATAAGTGGTTTAGTCCTGAAGGGGAAAGGTGGAGCCATGATCAACATTTCCAAGCATCTTAAATAACCAGTTACTCTAACAATCATGTCTTTGTGTTTTAGGAGGTAGCTGGAGAAGGAAAACCTGCAAACTCTGAAGAAAGACACCAAACTTTCATAATCGGGAAGGGTTTTATTTATACAGAGACGTGTTTTTGGCCATGTTATTACAGAATACGGCTGCAGCTAACAAAGATTTTTTACTAAATTAAACCAGGTGAAACTAAAACTTTTCCACTAAAGGAGTTCTTGTTAGAGCATATTGACAGACAAAAGCATTCTTTTTTTTATCTTAAAAGCAAAATGTTTTTTTTTTTTTTTTTTTTTTTTTTTTTTTTTTTTACAATCTTTGTATAATTACTGCTCTAAGTGGATTGTTCTGTTAGCATGTTTTAGAGTTTCTATACTGCAGTATACGATTGATTACTAAATTAGTTGACGATTATTTCAATAATCAATCACATTAATTGTTTGAGCCCTATTACAGACCATCAAGCTGAATAATCCTGATTGATACTTCCCGGTAATCTTTGAATGGTCACTGCTGCAGAAGCTGGTTGTAACAAAGTGCTGTGCCCAAGTCAATTAATGGAAAATTTAGTGAAAAGAAAAAGTGTGGTTAAAAGAAAGAAGTGTTTATCATTCCATCCATCCATTTTCTTCCGCTTTATCCGGATCTGGGTTGCGGAGGCAGCAGTCTAAAGGGCTTGTTATACTCCTGCAGCAGTGTGTCACAGTGAGCTTGTCGCAGGTACGTCGCAGATATTTTTGATTTATCCCAATGTTGAGGTGGTCTGGGCTGTTATTCCACGCCACAACTCAAGAGGGACAATCACAAACTAGCTATGGGACTAGATATGGCCGAGGTGGTGAGGAAGTGGAAAAACAAAAGGGGCAAGTTTGTGCGACAATGGTGGGACATGAGGGCGAAAAAGAGCAGGGATTCAGGTGGAAAAAGGGTCCCAGCGTTCTCGCTCACCTAGTTCTTCTAGCTGGTCCAAGTTCACAAGTCATTTTCCACAATGGCGGTCATTTAAAACTAGTTGGTAAGGTACCAAACAGGAAATATGCATAGTGTAGAGTGGATGTAGATTTGACCAATCAGAGGCCTCCTGTCTGTGGTCACCTACAATTTTGGAGATGTGCACCAGAGTGTCAGCGGAAGGGGCGGGGGCATAGTTGTTTTCACTGCGACATACACGCAGATGACCTGGTTTTTGAGCATAAACCAACCTTAAGCAGAGATGCCCAGACTTCCAGATCTACATAGACTTCCTCCAGCTGCTCTGGAGGG